AGAGCTGTACGTTGGAGGGGCGGGGGGGGGGGGGGGGAGGTTGTGACATTTTTTACATTTGTAATGAGAGCTACTAATCTCGACACCTCAATAAGAATCAAGGCTTTATTTCTGCAAAATCTGAGTTTGACAAGCTGCAAAACTTGAGGTGGTTACCTTTCTGGTCTGCATTTTCTCAGTTCTCCTCCGAAAAGCCACATAGGGATCATTGTTGGTGGAGCCATCCCTTTTTTCTTGTTTGATCTGGGGGATGAGGGACGGCCCTCTGCAGTTCTTACGTTTTCTTACCCAGTAGTCATAGACAGCCTTAATAAGATAGTCATCCTCATTTAGCAGCAACTTAGCTTCCTGAAGTGTTACAAGCTGAAGGAATATATACAAATACATTTCAGTAAAAGTACTTTCAGATAAGAATTAAGCAAAGAAAACAATATACTGTATGTTTAAAAGAAGTGTTAGCCATTACAATTTCAGTTTCTTCAGATAATTAATAATATCGCATAAAGACAACAACAGTATTTATGATAAAAACCACAAAACAAAGGTTTGTAAAGTGATCAGTCATGCAGAATTATTAACTTTAGGCATAGTAATATTTTAATTTTTAATTGCCTGATTTACAGCACTTTTTTCCCTTTTTCTGTAGCAACAGAAAAGAAATACGTTGTGTTTTGCTATAGAGTGTTCTGAAAAGTCCTTTTTACCAATAGTAACTAGTGTGTTCTTTCACATTTCCTCTATGTGTGGAAAGGCAGTCTATGCATATTTTAATAAACAAATAAAAGCAGACTGACAGTTATACTACAGCATCTATTTTTTAAACGGTTAGCTTTTAAGTAATAAAATTCCACAATGTTAGAATCATTTGTAAGCCAAATCATTCTATTACATTTGTTTGCCTTTATGATCTAAACTTGGCAACCCTACAAAATTTAATTCAAGATGCCTTCACTCTTAAAAAATAGGAAGGATTCCCCCCCCGCCCCAAAGTACATTGTACAATTAGCATTGTTTTGGAGACTGTGATGCACTTCACAGGAAACTTTAATTTAGAGCCAAAGTTAACTGTATAGGACTTGGACTATGCGGCAAAGTAGTTAATCTTTCATCCTCAAATCCTCCAAACAAACAGAGTGGTCCCTTACAACACAGAAGCTGTCCACTGCTAATCCACATGATAGTAGTTCGACACCAATTAACGAAGCATTCAACGTATATCCTTTCTTCGATTAATATTCTCCCCTTTCCCAGCAATACATCAAACAGTAAGTATGCTCTTACTATCAGACATGTAAACAACACTCTGTATCTACATATTTCCCCCCACTATGTCATTTTGTGAACACTAAATTAAATCAATTTTTTCACAACTGAATAAGGAAAAACAAACTAGAAAAATGTCCATTTATCATGTTTACATGAGTAATTAATTCCTTGCACACTAAGCTTTTCCCCCCTGATATACAATGAACCGTGGCATAAAACTAAAAAATTCAGGAGAAAGGGATATATTATCATCATTTAAAAAACCAAAACAAGGGAACAAAAAGCTTTTCCTAATAGCCAGAAATAGCTTCTGAAGTTCAAATGGCCCCAGCCAGACTAAAGTTAACCATGCTTAAGTCCACTGAAATCAACATGGCATTAATTGGCAAATTTGTTATGATACATTTGCCCCATTAATTTCAATAGAACATACAAGGGACTAGCTTGAGTTGTACTAGGGCAAGTAAATTCAGAGAAAAAGAATAAATGGATGATTCTTTAAATATCAAGAAATTCTAAGCTTTTACAAAAGTGATCTGGTCTAAAATACAAATTTCTCATGTGAGAGAACATACTGAATACTATCCAAATTTGTCCTTCCCCAATAGCTTCAAAACTGCAGAATTTGCAACTTCAGGATTTAGAGATGCCTACCTTGTGTTAAGGAATCTGACCCTTTGTACCTACTTTTATGATCAACCCCTGCCCCAAAGCATGAGATAGTGATTATACACTCTGGAAAGCATCAACTCCTTGTCCAGAATACACTTCCTTGTTTCAAATGATGAAACACTTCTTCCGACTTGTACACTGTACATACTGGAATGGTATAAGTGTCCTCCATTGCCTGTTATTCCTACAATGGAAGATGGTCTTTATGGAAATGTTGATATGCAGGACAGGGCTGACTTATTTATTTTCATTTACAGTCTGCCCTTATCACTGGTACTCAAGGCTGATTATAATTCCAATAGACTATTTAGTCAATCAGCAGCGGATTACAAAATATAACATTTGAATCTAACAACAAAGATTCCTAGTAACACAACATAATAAAAGTGGGGAAGGGTCTGAAGGACTGGGAAAAAACCACATTATCCCTAGTAGAGGTCACCTCTCGAGTTGATCCATTACATCACAGCTCTACTCCTGAACAATTGTGTTTCACACATTTTGTGAAAGGACAGAAGCATGGGGGCCTCTCTAATAGCCTCAACCAGACTATTCCATAGTGTGGGAGCCACCACAGAGAATGCACATGCAGGGTGACACATTCAGAAGGCTTTACTCTGATAAATGAAGTTGTCATAGTGGAACACAGCAGGAGAAGTGGTCCTGCACATACATGGATCTGATGCCATTAAGGGCTATGGAGGGAATAGCTAGAATTTTGAATTGAGCCCAGTACCTGATCAGTAACCAATGGAGTGACTGCCGAATGGGATGTGCAGATTCTACTTAGCACCCCACAGTAGCCAGGCCACTTCATTCTGTATCAACGGAAGTTTCCAAGCTGCCTTTAAGAGCGGAACAATGTAGAGTGCATTGTAATAATCTAGCCTTGAGGTAATTATAGCGTGGATCCACATGGACCCAGAGCAGCCAGCTCAAAGTAGGGGTCCATCTTCCAAGCTACATGGAGTTGACAGGATGTGATTTTTTGCAGCTGCATCAACTTGCTTCTCCAGCAATAAAGCAGAATGCAGAATCACCCCTAGGCTCTTAACTAAGTCAACAAGAGACAACTGGACCTCATCAGAAGTGGGGAATCCCAAGTTCTTCAGGGCCTGAGACTTCCAAATCATTACCTTCATCTTGTTTACTCTTGTTTACTTGGTTACTCTTAGCCATTCAACTACAGCAGTCGAGTATTGTTTCAGAGACTCTATAGCATCAACAGGTAATTTGGATAAAAAATGTAGAAACCATGAATGATTTCCCCCAAGAGGATCACAGAGATTGAATACAGTGAACCTTGTGGAATTCCACAGGACAGGTCACATATTGGAAAGAACTTGCCCCCTACAGCAACCTTCTGAATTCTACTCATAAGGAACAACTAAAACCAATCCAAAGCACAACCTTTAATCCCTATTTGTACCTCCAAATGTCTCAACAGGATAGCATGATCCACTGTCAAGGGCTGCTGACAATCCTAGCAAACACAGCAGATAGGCATGGCCTTTGTCTACATTTAGACAGAAGTCATCTACTAGGGCTATCAGTGCCACCACTGTCCCATGATTTAGCCTGAAATCAGACTGAAAGGGGTCTAAGGCAGAAGATTTACCCAAGAAGGCCTGAAGTTGCTCTGCAATCCCTTTTTCTATCATATTGATCAAGCTGGGCAAATTAGTCGAAGCAATATATCCATCAACAGCATCTATACACTTTCCATGCTCTTATTTCCACATTTCCAAGTGTGTTTCTTCACAAAAGACCATGTGAAGTAGGATAATTTCCAGAGATGTAGCCATGTTTTCATGGGTAAGCAGTGGGGTATTGCAGGGATCAGCACTGGTCTGATGCTTTTTAACTTGTTCGTTAATGATCTGGACTTGGGAGTTGGGAGTAAGCAGTGAAGTGGCTAAATCTGCGGATGACACAAAATTGTTCAGGGTAGTGAGAACCAGGGAGGATTGTGAGGCACTCCAAAGGGATCTGTCGAGACTTCCGGTCGGGCTAAGGTGGAGGACTGACACACTTTCGCGATTGTGCAAAGTGAGCGACGGCCGCTTTTGACAGTTTGGGTGGTGGACTTGTGAAAAAGCTACACTCTTTTGGACAAAAGTCCACAAAGAAATGCAAAAAATACTTAAGTGCTCTTTCAAGAAAGCGCCTGAAATTCTGCTTTTGGGACTAAAAATGGAAGAAGTTAACTCGACTAAAAGGACTTTATTCTGGTACCTTATTACAACAGCGAGGATGATTTATGCACAATTTTGGAAGACTGAGAAAGTACCAGAAATCGAAGACTGGATACAAAAAGTTCTGTTCATGGCAGAAATGGATAAAATTACAAAGAAGTTGAATAATCAAGAAGACAACGTGTTTT